ACCACCATCACCACCATCACCACTACAAACACAACGAACAACACCACAACCACAGCAACCACCACCACCACCACCACCACCACCACCACCACCACCACCACCACCAGGCACAGACCCAGATCCAAAAGAATTCTGCAGCAAAACAAACTGCGGCAACAAGACCTAAGAAATTCCAGACATCCCACATTTACACAACTTTAGACCAGGCTGCTCAAGCTGGATTCGGCCAATCGGCATCGCGCCTCAGCTCAAGCCATCATAAGCCTAGACCTTGATCTTTATCCGACTCATGCGACCCATAAGTTCCATCAAAAAAAACTGCCACAGGGGCTTCAACATGCATGGCTTTGGCCTGGGATCATGGCCTGCCTTCATCAAGGAGTCAAAACCTAATCAAATCCTAGTAGATAGGAACACCCACATGTTGCAGGTTTGCCTGTGAGGTTGGCAGGGCGAAGGAGAACCACATACGGAATAATCCTCCACCCAGCAGCTGCCAAGGTCCACTTGCACCCAGGGGTTTGTCTCCTCCACCTGAGGAAGGCAGCTAGCGCCAACATGGAAAGGCGTGCACAGGTTTAGCAAGTCTAGCAACGGACACTGCGCGCGAGTCCAGGGAGTTGTCATTGATCGCACCTGCCAAGACGGCTTCCAGCAGCACAGCCGAAAAGCGGGCTGAAAGATGGGCAGATCCGGCGGAATCTCAAACATTCAAGGATGAACCAAATGATGAACCGACGACTTCTTTGGACTTAGAGCATTCGATTGCCAGTCCGAGGCATGCGGATCTGGATCTCTATCTAGGATCCGTTTCACAGTAGTTGGAACAGAACATGGGCAACAACTCCAGCCCAAGCGCTTCCCCTTTGTCGAGAGGCGGCCCGGTAGAAATTGTGAAAGCTAGAGGGGTTAGTCCGGCTTAAGACCCCTCTGGCCTTCTGAGCCGACATTCAGCACGGAGCCTCAATGGGCAGGCAGATGCCAGCAGCTTCAAGCTCCAAAGCGTGATTTGCCAGCTGGGCTTCATGCTCATTGAAGCCGCTCCCAACAGACCCACATTCATATCAGCCTGACCAAAAGCAAGCGTATGTTAAGTTCATGGAGCTCTGCAGCCCTCCAGGAGTCAACAAAGACGAGCATTCCCCAAACCTTGAATCCCAAACGCAAACATGTTCAGAACTTTCTCCAGCAATACTCCAGCAAAGCACCCACTTTACGTAGTCCCTGTGCCATACGCGCACCTGAATGGAGCCGGGCATCTTTGCTTCCGTGAAAATCCTTGCATCCGGCACAGGCCAGCAGGGCTGAAAGATGTTCAAAGTATGATGCAAAATTGCTGTGGGCATGCTCGCTCAAACCCAAAGGCATATCAGCACATTCTTTTTTAGGGCTTCAATCAACATGTTGCATTAAGAAAAAACACAGCATTATCAAAGGTCAAATCCACAGATCCACAGAAGGCGTACGCGCAAACACTACAGTAGCAAAGCCCAAGTGCTGCAGGTTGCGCAGATCTCCAGGGAATGCCTCCTGGCCATCATCTCGCGATCCAACCTTGTGAGGAGCATCAGGAGTACCCAAGAAATATGTGCCCGCTCGAGTTGGTTTTTGCTAGCATGGCAGGACCGACGCGTATTCGGCAAGAAGTAGTGAACCCCCGGGCCCTATGCTAGCTGATGGGGACATAGCAGGCTATGACCAGATCTACACCTTGCTCGTGGAGTGTGCAACAGGATCACTTAGAGCCCCTGCTGCAGCCGAAAGGACGCCGGCCAGCGTGTACAAAATGGATGGTGTCTGAGTCCGGGACACAAAAGTTGGAGGTCTGAATGATGCCTGAACGCACATGCTACGGCTAGGCTGATTGAAGCATGCGGGTCACCTGCACAAGCACTCCAAATCGTGTTTGTGTGTGTGCGTGGTGTGCGTGTTGAGCCCGAGGTGCTGAGTAAGTTCTTGGCACCCTTCGTTGCCAGCAGAGTGTGGTCTACCTCGTCTCTCACAGCAACCCTCTCATATCTGGAAGGAGACACACCGTTTTGCACTGCGAGGTGAGAGATTGCGTGAGGCTTGAGGGTAACACCTGAAAGCGCTTGCATCACTGGGTTCAATCTCTTCAAGCCTGAAGCTCCCACATACATGGCTGCCATCAAAGTCACCCAAAGCTTCCGCATCACGCCATCGAACGTGGACATGATGCTATGCCTGCAGGCTACAGGCATCAGGCATCAAAAGCTACCTTGAGAGAAGAGCAACTTAGCATGCAAAATGTTGACAGCAGGAGATGGCTTGGAGGTAATGGCTCTGAGGCCAGAACCACTTGCCGTCAACCAAAGACTTGTTGAGCTTTACCTCAAAGACGTTCCTGCCCCAAATACTCTTCCTCAGTGTGTGGGTAGCTGAAGAGCCGTGTCTCGGGCAGCGATTTGTAAGAAAGGTACCAAGCTTTGACCGCGACTGCATGTTACTGACAAGCAACACTGAATCTCCTCCAACCCACAGCGCGTGTTTGCGCATAGGCACTACCTGAACCATCTTGCCAAGATTGCTAATGACATGACATTGACATGACCTTGAGCACCTTGGTTTGGATATGTTTGGAGTATGAGACGATTGACGGCTTGAGCATGTTTGCCACAGGGCGCTTGCCTCCTCATCGGATCCATCCTCGGGCTCAGGCACAAAGAAGGGGTCCTGAGGCCCACAGAGCCGCAAAATGCCGCAAATGCTGCTACCGGCACTGGCATCACCCAGTTAGGCTGTCTCCTGGCACTGTACTGGCTGGTTGATGAGCTCCCGCGATGTAGCGCCCGTCGAACGAAATCTCAGTCCAGAAGTCCCAACGCATTATGGCCTAACTTGCAGCCACAGTCCACATCCAGCTCATGCCATGATAGGTCACCTTCGGTCGACTGGTTCACAGGCTCTAGTATCGCACCCAACAATTCAGCCAGCTACAGGCTTCCATGAACAAACTTTCAGAAAAGCCTTTGATTTGAGGCCTGTGCCTGGCATACCACACCAGGCCATCATTGCTGGCCACGATGAGGGCCTCCTGCGCGAACATGCACTCACATCAATTCCTGTCGCATGTCGCTAATCTGTAGAGATGTTCAAGCACAGGCTCTCACGCTGCCCAAAGCGAAATACCCAAGATGTGGGGGGCGTCTTCAACTTCAAAGGCGCTTTGTCATCTTGCTGGATCAATGAGTTCACGACAGTTCACGGCAAATTAACTTCCCTGCCCTTTGCAGCCTATTGATGTTCCTTTTCCTTGGACCAGGCCGTGACGAGCAACAAGCAAGCCAGTTTCTGCCGCTTCTCAGGGAAGTTGCAGTCTTGTCAAGGGTGCCGCTTCGAGAACATCTTTCAAGCAGAAACAACTCCATTGAAGCACAACACGCCACGACTACCGTCACGCACCATATGCCCTGTTCCTGCCGGGGCAATTTGCTAAGCACTTTTGCTGACTCTTCCCCACTGTCCTCTCGACTCCACTTTATGCTACGCCCCACTCCACTCCACGCCAATCCACAATGCGCTTCCACTCCACCCACTTCATGAACAATGTCTCTACATCCAATATATCCAATTAGCCCCGCAGCATCACCTGCGGCACATGGTTTGGTCGAGCTCTGTGCAATGCCGAGCGTATGACCTGCACAAGGCTGTAACAGCTTTGATCATGCAGCTCAGGCAGTGAATAGCAGCACATACCCCGCCTTCTCACTGCCAAGATCCCTGTAGATGAGAGGCACTTGATGTTCCGTCCAAGACACGCCCCAGTTCTGCCTTGAGAGCGCATCATGAGCTGAAGAAGGGCTTCATCAGCCAGCTTCAGAATTGATCAACTGCAAGTACTGTCTCCGTCAAAGCTACTCTGGCAGCCGCTCTAAGCAACGATTTAATCTCCACCTCCCATTTGAGAACGCGGCTGATTTGGCTTGTACTGAAGGAAGTGGCGCCCGCGATTGCTCTGAGGCTGAGTGATCTTGACACCAGGGTTGATAAAGCCCTGGATGTACACCTGGCAAGATCAACAAAAGTGACGAGGAACATGATGACAGCGGCCGGGTTTCAGGTGTCAAATTTTAATGAAGCTTCCGCAGCCTTACCAAACTACTATCACTTGCGAAATCTACGATTGCGGCCTAATACGATGACTACCACTCCCCGTACCACTCCGCACTCCCAGCCCCGTTCGGATTCAAACTCCCGTTGCTGCTGCCACTACGACCACCGCAACCACCACCGCCGCCGCCGCTGCCACCGCCACCGCCATCAGTTAGCACTGGTACTCGTGCACTCGTACTAGTACTAATACTGTTTTGATAAGACCTTCGCACCAGCCTATGATATCTTAGTTTTACAGTACCGCAATACTGTGGTTATAGCACCATAGCACCAAAGCACTGATACCCTGGGACCTGGGAATTACGTGGAATTACATGAGATCGGTGATCCTAAGCATTGCAAATTTCTTCCATCCACCGCGGCACTGGTACTAATACTACTACTACTACTACTACTACTAGCAGGTCACGGCGCTTCAGACGTGGCACTCATAATCTTACAAAAAATGGCCCGCGCAACTACTTCGTTTCGGATGATTTTCTTGGCCATTAGTAGTTCAGGTTTCATAAATATGATGCTTAGGTTGAACAAGGGAATCTCCCACAAGTACGAGTCAATTACCAACCAAGGTTTTGATGTATGAGGCGATTTAAAGCGAATAATGGAACGTCACACTAATGCTTTGCTATTGGTAGTCCAGGTGTTTACACATGGCTGTAACCTGCAGGCGTCAGTCTACCACCTGTAACATGGTTTGCCGCATCCCCTCAGGTGAACAAAGCAGCCGTGGTTTTGCACACAAAGGACCAGTTTCTTGCGTGCATTTTTGTATCTCTGCAAAATCTCTAATGACAGTCGCTCCTCTTGCGTTCAAACCTTCCTGATCTACTAATAAGATTGACAGGTGGACAAAGCTTGGCTGAGAGTATCCGGAGACCTGTTGAAAAAACCTTGATTGTGAGCCTGCACACATCGACTGTGCCATTGCATGTTCCTTATGTGTTCCATGGCTTGATCTGTTCTTGCTCTTAGTTTGCAGCCCTCAAATCCTGCCTTTCTGGCCATGTTCGGGTATGCGTTCTATGTCTGGTTACGCCATTCTGCCACCTCTGTGCTGCAAATGGCGTTGGAAGCCATCCAACAGGAACTTGAACAAAGACGGTATGAGGAACAGGAACAGCTCTTACGACTCTGGCGTGAACACCCAAGCCCATGCTTTCGACAATGCCAGTATTTTCAGTGCCCGTGCGCATGTGTCCATTTGGCCCATACACCACAAGAAGGCTTAGATGTGCTGCCCATGGGGATTATTAATGCTCTCCGTGTTCATGACTCGACTCATTTCTGATGGAAAACTTGTTTCCTGCGCAAGACTGCATGCATGTTTCCTCGATTACCTGCAGGTAGTGTTGCTGCAATGTCGGTTCTCTTCCTCTACTTCTTTTTCCTGACCTATGACTGCAGACTGAACCTGATTGCAGAGTTGCAGGAAGGATGCCTCATCTGTTGGTAACGGTTCGCCAGTGCCATCTGCTGACTCGAAGAAATCCAAGTAAAACGGCCTCGGCTTGCAACATTTAAGCTCTGCCGCTTCGGAATGTGTAACTGTGACAATGCCAAGATTGTGGCTCATAGTAGCCATTTGCTGATGCTTCCGTGGCAGCCAAGCCCCAGTACCTAGCCTGGCCAGATTCTCCGGAAATGTCCGCAGCTCATCGAAGGCACGACAAGTCTCCTAAATCCAACTCATGTAATCCGCTCCTGCCTTCAGACATGGCGAGGTAACGCGATCCTGTCAAGGAGTTCAGAAGGCTGTGTTTCGTGCTGCATCTAGAGCCCATTGCCTTGCGACGTAAAGCAAGGCTTGAAATGCAGATGTCAACATAATTTATTCACACGGGAGTTGCGATTTGCGAACTTCTCCAATAAGTTTATCTTTGCACAGGCCGAGAGATACGTGAAGGATGAAATATGAACCAAAGGATTAGAATACTTTGATTAAGAAGCTGGATTTGCCCGGACTTTGTCTGCCAGTGGTTTTGGGGGCAGGGTCGTACTTTGCGCATGGTGGCAGCTATGAAGACGGCTCGACTTCGTTTGAAGGCAAGAGTTTGCTAAGATCGTCCGTCGGCTTCAGAAGATGCAATCATCCATGCAATGCCCACCAATCCCATTGGTGCGCCTCGTCACCGTTGGCCTCATGTGTTCAGGACCGGATTTGTTGTGAATTCGTGGCCGGGGTCAATGCAAGCAAACGTCACCACAGCTGATCCTCCCAAAGATCTCTGAATCTGGCATATGAAACGCGAACACTTATAGGTTTACATGTTTAAATCGACAAGCGCTTCAGAGAGCCTGTCATGTTGGGTTAGAGAGTCAAAAGGAACCCTCAAACCCAGATTAAAACGCAACTCGAATCCACATGAGCAACGCCTGCAAACATAAAAGAATCACAAACACACACACGGGTAATGAATTGTGCGATCGGTTCTTGTCCGAAGTTCTCATTGGGGGGGACCTGCTGGTTCCGATAGAACAACGTCCTACGTACATGACCTGAACATGTTTGGTAAATGTAGATGTCCGCTGCAAACATTGAATGTACATGTCCGCTGCAAGCACCGAGGTTTGGTTTATGGCGCACTCCCTTGCATCAACGCTTGGCCATGACTGCAGCAACAGCTTTGAGGGTGCTTTGGGGTGGC